CATTATTAGAACGAAGTCATCATGAATTAGAAAAGTTTTGCTCTGGCTGGTTGTTTATTTGAAATGTCTGGGATCTAAGAGTGAGTCTGGAAAAAAACTCACAAGTAGTCAGAACATTAAAACTGAAAAACAACAACAACAAAAAACAGAGTGTAGGAGTTGAGGTTAAACAGATCAACCAGAGAAGTTGGGTAGCAGAGATCTGAAAGGGCAGCGAGTGGTCTACTAAAGAGAATAGAATTTGGGAAGGCTTCTGGATGCAGGTGTTGGTGGCACTGTCAGCTGACCTCTGCATGCATCCAGCTCTCCATGTAAGGGCATTTCTTTTCCTTGCCCCATACATTAAGAATGACTTCAGCTTTTGGCGGAACTTCACTCCTACTTTGATAGTTCTATGAATCTTTTGATGTCTTCTTGTTTTTACCAGACTCACTCCTCCTTCCATAGTGCTCAAGTGCTTTGAGTTATTCAGTTTTCCTGGCTTGTCTCTGCCCCAGGCTCTCTTGTCTTTTAGCTGAACTCCCCAAACCTGCCTTTTGCCTTGCTTCCTGGATTTTCCTTTGCAGGTTTCTCTTCCAATCTTACTGCTTCTGGCTTCTGTTGTACTGGTAGCACACAGATACTTTGGCCAGCTTGGCTGTATCTTTCTGCCTTGTGACTTCTGGGCCAGTTACACACTTTTTCCTTATTTACCTTGAGGCTTTCCAAGTCTAAAGGCTCCTGCAATTGCATCCAGTGAGCACCTCCCTCCGTAAGAAATGGATTTAGTACAGTTGCATTTATAGCAGTTTCCAAATGGAAGTCAAACAACCTACTTATATTATTTATTAAAAATATTCATGGAGTGCCACTAATTTTCTGAGGCTGTGAACAAGACAGAATGAGGGCCTTGACATTGGGCTTAAATTTTATATTATATCACAAACAAACAATAAAATCACCTAAAGAAAAGAATTAAAAAGTGAAATGATCTAAGATACCCAAATTGATGTTTCTTAGTTACGAAATTCCTTCAAAGGGCTCCAAATGGCTAGTAATGTTTTCTCACTTTCCTTAGCCTAATATTTACACTCTGCTGATTTTTGCATTTTATGTAAAGGGTGGTGACTAGGTATGGAGGGCTTAGAGATCTTGTTCTGTTTTTGTTGTTGTTGTTGATTTGATTTTTCTGTGGTTGAGGATATCTCTGGATAATCTGTTGTCATAGAAAACAAGACCATTCTTTTTAGACTTTCTCAGTCAACCTCATTTTAAGTGTGCCATTATATTCCTTTTATTCAGTAGCTGAAAATTGTTATTTAGTTACTCATGAGAATAAAGAATCCAGTGTTTCATAGGTCATGAAACCCTTGTTTTAGCTTGCCTCGCTGTATTTTATTAGCTTCTTATGGAGGTATGAGGTAAGGTGGGGGTTAAACTTTCATTGTATTATATAAATATTTGCATTTCATGCACACATTTAAATATCATTTTCCTATGCTGTACATTTCTTTACCTCTTTTTAAAGTACCTAATAGATACAATTGCAAAGGACTTTTTAAATTGCTAAACATATAGTAAAGAATAACAATGATTTTCAAGCAGTACAGAGTGTAATTAATTTTTATAGAAACAGTATGTACCTGCCAAATGGGTACTTTGAAAATGAAACAGCTCTCGACTGTGTGAAACTGCTTGGAAATATGATTCTCCAATGCTTTCTTTTCCTATAGCTCGAAAACGGTGATATGGAAATTAATTATGACTGTGCACCCAAGACTGCTTCTTCCCTTTTTTTAAAAAAAAAAAATATCACACTTTAGAAGCAAAGTTCCTTTGGGCCAAGAATACTCCCAAGAGATTTGAATGTTCTGGATTTTAGTTGGAAAGAGGCCTTGAATGCAGCCTTGAGTAAGTTGCCACCTGTCCCCAAAGGTGACATCCTCCACGACACTCTGATGTTTCACCCATTGGTGCCAGGTGACGGTTGTCTCTAGTCCTCTCACTTGGTGGCGTAACGAGCTTGTATTACATGCCCCGCCTCTGAATCCCGAGCACTGATTTATTCTGACAACATGTCCTGTTGCATATCTATTGCAAAATGCATCCAATGCCTCGTTGTTAGTGGTCCATTGTGAAACAGCTTCCTGTGTTTGTTACAATCCACACACAGATGTCTGATTCCCACCTACAGTCTAGTATGTAATCTCTTTTGGCTCTTGTCCTGTCTTCTTTGGTTTTGGTGATACGTTGCTGTGGCCAAAGTGAGTTTCCAAAACAAAGTTATTTATTGATTTGGTTGTATAGGTGAGGAAGCAAGGGAAAAACCAAATATTCTTTCACATGTGTTTATGCAGTGAGGTTGCTAATTTAATGATTTGCTGCAGATAGGGCAGGTGACCGTTGTGGCCTTGCAACAGGCCAAGTTGCCAGAATGATGCCTCTGACTTTCCCGGCTCCATGTGGTGTTGTCAACGTAGAGTCCCAGCCGTACATTGCCTGCCAAGATGATTTTTCATTTTGAGTAGTGGTTCTCCGTATTTACCATACTGCAGTGCTATTTGGAAGGTTGGATAAAACTCCTTTTCTGTGTTCCATGCCCAGAGCTTTGTTGGAGCTAGTGTGGGGTGAGCCTCAGAATTTGCTTCTAATGAGCAGTGCCCCTGTGATGTGGATGCTGCTGGCCTTGGGTCCTCACTCTGGTTACCATGGAGTCAGAGCACTGGGAAGCATTTGGTTGTCTCGGGCTCCAGGTGTTGGGCATGAGGGTGCTGCATCTGATAGGGGAAGAGATAGGAAAAGACTAAACAATTCCAATCATCTTACTTATTGTCCTAGATTTGTCCGCCTTGGAGCTGTTACAATATATGTTACAAAACTGAACATTCATATTAATTGTTTTTATTACAGGAAATCAAATCAAATTTAGGAGGGTCAGTGGATTTGATTGTTAACACAGACTTCTTCTCATCTGGTTCCTACATCCTTCTTCAGCCTGCGTCTCCCTCTGTCCCCCACAAAGAGTGACTAGAGATTAGCCACAAGATGGGTGTCTTTCGGAAGGAGAGAAATGAGACAGGATTTGTTTCTTTGGCAAGACTGTCACGACAATCAAGTTTATCCTTATAACAAAACCCTCATTGTTTTGGCTTTTAGCTGTTCAGACTTTGTGGCAAGGAGAATGGTTAGTTCAAATATACCTTACATTGTTTATCATAGATTTCCAAAGCAAATCCATATATTTAATCTGTTAGGCCAAAACGTTAATTTATTTAACTTTCAGATTATATCATTACTGCCACTTAAATAAAATGAATGTAATAATTAGAAGCCCGCCTGGTCTGTTTCTCACCGAAGGCTGTGTTTAACTTGTGCGTGTGATCAGGACTGCTGAGCCTTCATTGATTAATCCTTCATACTTCTCCTTCAGGAAGAACTTTTGTCCAGGTAGTGTCAATGACCGGTTTTGTTTTTTAACGAAAGGACAAAGTTAAACCTACTCATCATTTCCCACTAGTTTCAGTCTCAGCGTTATCTGGGGTGGTCAGGTTTGTGCCTGACACCTTTTGAATCTAGTGAACACTGGAACTTTAGAATGCAGTTCAAAGCATAAAGTGCTGCCTTCAACAGGACTCCTTTAATTTTGCTTATGAAACACTTTGTCAGATGTTACTTTCTTTTAAATAATGCCCTGTGCTCAAATTTTCCTAGAATAAAACACCCTGCCAGGTAAAGGATTTAAGAGATCTAGGCCATGCTTACTCAATGAAATGCAGTGGAGTGGAAAATACCCCGTCTTCCTGGCTCAGAACACTGGCTCTTTTCTGATATAGTGGTTCAAGGGGATTATATTATTTAAAGAGGTGCTGTTACACCGACATTAACTTATTAGGGGCAGATTTTCCTCTTTTGTAAGATTGTGTGTTGGAGTTTCCATTGGAGGGAATTGGAGTCTGTGAACAATGGTTTCAAGTCAAGGAGAAGCTGTGCTTGAACCTGGTGCTGCTTTTCAACCTTTGCCCTCTTGCTGGGAAGACTTGCCTGAGTCAGATCATTGAGGATTAATAGGGAGTGCATTGCTCAGCACCCTGCAGGGCTTGGGTCAAACGCCTTGGCTTTGAAGAGTTACCGTTTTTTGCTTAATAAGCCTAGGAATTTCAGGTCCCAGTGAAAAATGGAAGCCCGGGATCCTGTTGATTAACATGGTCTCTCTGCAGTCCGCCAGCCTGGGGCTCTTCTGGATGTCCCTTCTGTTGTGTGTAACAGTGTTGGGAATAACTGGGGAGGTTACTAGTGAGTTTGACCTCTGGCTGTTACAGGAAGATTGGTGCAGTGTCCTATGCCCTGTACAATTCATCCTTCTCCTTGAAGAGGTTTGGCATGTTACAGAGGAAAAAGGAAAGTGTTTACCCTGGTAGTAGGAATACTGAGTGGTCAGGGAGCCTGTGACAATACTGTTTTGAGGCAAAGACTGGGGATTCTGGGCCAGATACCCACAAGGGAAACGATTTGTGACCAAAATATCTGCTGGGCAAAGGAGGGTGGGTAGCTTTTCTGGGTGACCAGAGAGACTCACGTGCTTGGAAGAATAGCCCAGGCCAAAGGTAGAGGGAACCCAGGCATACACTCTGGAGCAGTTCTGATGCTGATAGGTAGGAGCTGTGTCTGGGGTGAAGCAAAGGAAAAGGGGGCAGTAGACTAGACCTGTGTAAAAGGTAGTGAGAAACATGATCACAGCTGGGGAAACAGGTTTTTACACCTACTGGTTTAGACATCTCTGTGGTTTAACTTAACTTGAACTCTATCCAGGAAATAAGACAAAGTATTTGGGATCATACATACTTTCCACTTAGCTGTATTTATATTCCAGCCCGAACTCAGGAAAACTCTACAGGATCTAATGTGATTAAAAAGCCTCGTCACTGTTCTCATCACCATTTCTCCGTGTTTACAGAATGCTCAACCAAAGTCTGTGCCCTGGGAAAGAAGTTTCTAATCAGAGTTCACTTGTGTTTTTCCAGGTAGCCCAGCCATGACCCATAGGAACCTGACATCCTCCAGTCTAAATGACATTTCTGATAAACCAGAGAAGGACCAGGTAAGCATAGACTTTTCCTCTTAGAAACTGAAGACTGACCATGTATCTAAGAGATGCCATGTTGATAAGAGATAGTGGTTGTCACCACTCAAATATACATTATGTGTAAATAGGAGTTGGCTCTTTTTCTAAGAAAAAAGCGAATGTGTGAGAAGCCAGCAAGTCTTGGCTTTGACCTTCGTGGTGCATTCACCTGGGCTCTTAGCTTTGGAACTACAGTTGACTGAGCCTGGGCATATTAATCACTTTTACCTTGGGTTTGTTGTAAGGATTAAGTGGGTTGTTTTATGAAAAAGTGTTTTGGTATACTATAAAAGGTGCTGGCAATCGTATATCATTAAGTGTCTGTCTGTAATGAAGGACAGACAGGTAAGTAATAAGGGACATGAATTGAGAAAATATGGTTTTGGTACTTGTTTTAAACCTGGCTAGGTGTGAGATGGTCCCAGCTTCCCCTGTTGAATGGAAACAGTACTTCATGTATAATTCAGAAGACCATGCGTCTGATTCTTTCTCTTATCACTTTCTTTTGTGTCCTTTGATGTAACAGTAGAACACAATTCTAGTTGGCTTCATGCTTAACATACTAACTGGGTAGCAGTCCCATGGCCGCCTTCTTTTACGGTCTCTTTACGGTAGCTTTGACTTTTTTTTTCATACTTTGCTATTTTTTTTCCACAAAAACAAATTTATGACAGTGTTATTTCTTTAACTGGCAGCCCCTGTAGTGATGACAAGAACTTTATAGGCCGTGATGAATTCTAAAAAGTACAGGAAAGGTGAAATTATTCTCTTAGTTATGAAGTGGCTCTTGGATTCTTTCAACGTTCTCATCGACGCTTCCTTAAAAGGCCTTCAGTTGCCCAGATCAGATTACTAGGCAAACCTTCGGAGCTACGCCCCTGTTCCCATTTTCTCTCAAAAAGTTCAATATGCTTTTTGTATCCTTGTTCTCCTTTCCCCCTGGGGATTAGAAGCACAATAGGTTTCCAGCAAGTTAAGTTTCACATTTCCCTGAGATCTGTGTCTTCCTTCTTACCTTTATCTGTTGGTGTTTGTGGAAGACACCTTTTATCAGGACAGATGACTGTCCTCAGCATCACCTTGATATTTTCTCTTGACTAACATTGACATGGTTAGTTCTTCTGCCTCCTTCTGATGCTTCTGGACATAGTCAAGGTTCAGGGTGTTGACTCTCGAATGTGTTGGTAAGTACAAACCTGTGGCAGGAGAACTTAGACCCTTAGAATTTCCTTCAAAGCTGCTGGGCTCACTGTGGTTCCATCCAGCTTTTATCCAACAGTGCTGATTATTCACACCCTTTGATAGGGGATTTGAACTTAGATAAGGAAACACCAATTAGGGTTGACAAATCTAGTTGATACGGTTTTGAGTAAGTCTTCTTTTATTAGGGACAATCATCTTTAGCTAGAAATTTGTGAATAGGCAGCTGATAAATGCTGCCTGAGAGAACTTTCTTACTTTGTTGGTTCTCTTTAAATCTGAGCATATGTAGAGGAAGTTTCATGGCTCACAATTTGAATTACATCAAATTTATCTACAAGTTTCAGAATACATTGGAGCATCATGGGCCTTGGTTGTTGATTTTGCTATAAGATGTGTGTGGCTTAGGTTCTTGAAATCAACTTTTTTTTTTTTTTTTTTTTGCCTTCTGTCAGCATTCCATAGTTGCTGAGGTTGATGTCAAAGACCAAGAGAAGAGACTCAGCTCAGGGATTTTACTGGATCTGTTTTCAAAGCTAGCAAATGAAAGTTAATGGGTGCTTAAGAGACTTTATCCATCCAAATATAGCTGTCACTGTAGCCAGTTAGTCCAGGGAGGTCTTTTTCCCAAAAGGATCTCTGTTCTTTGTTTCCTTCCAAAGGCTGGAGAGGAGCTTAAACTGTCCACAGTCTTGTTCCCGTCAGTCCTGGAGGAGGGGTAATGGAGTAAAGTGAGCTAATGCTTTCCATACAAAAGCATGTGGAGCCTTTTAAGGCAAACAAACAAACAAACAAACTGGACTTGCAGATGAAGCTCTATTAACACCAGGTTTTATTTTTTGTAACCTGTTTTAATACCATAAATCTGGGTTTTTCTTTTTTGTTCTCTTTCTTTTTCTCTCCTTCCTTCCTTCCTTCCTTCCTTCCTTCCTTCCTTCCTTCCTTCCTTCCTTCCTTCCTTCCTTCTTCCCTCCCTCCCTCCCTCCCTCCCTCCCTCTCTCTCTTTCTTTATCTCCTTTCTTTCCTTCCTTCCTTTCTTTTCCTCTGTCTGGGTGTGGAAAACAGGTTGCCAGACTCAAATTTGTTTTGAAAAAGCTTTTATAATTGATTAGCCTGTGTCCTAGAAGTGAGTTTGGCAGTGAAGTCAAACTTGTCCTGTGTGCTTTTCCAAGCTGTTCTCCCAAAATTCCATCCAACGGCAGCTGAAGTTTCTTATTGACTGATGGTTCTGCCTGGATACCATCTGAACAGTTGTGACTGGGCCTCATGAAGCTACACAAGAGATAGGCTTTATGTTTGGAGTTATGAAGAGGAACAGAACAGCTCTTTCCAGCAGATCCAGGGTGACATAATTTGAGAGCATATTTTTAATGGGATTCTGTCTTGAGGAAGCAGAAGACAGAAGTCTGTGAACTGCACTTTTTCTTCCTTGCTCTGCCAAGCCTATGCACCCAGGATTTCAGTAGTGGCTGCCCGATTGAAAAATAGCTCAAAACAGTCAAGAGCAGCAGAAAAGCATAGACCAAATGGGGCAGTTCAGTGCCTCAGCAGCCTCCCTGCTTGGATGTTATGTTTATTAAGCAGAAAAAACACCTGTGAGGCATACAGTAACGGTACATCTGGAGCGCATCGACTTGTGCATCTACATAAATTCGTTTTTTGTTGTTGTTGCTCTGGAATGTTCTTTTGCATTAGCCAGTTGTTTTTTTTCCCAATAGTCTTTGCTTTGCCTTCCTGTCTTCCTTTGTAGCTTCTCTGTTCTTTGAAAAATGGAGCTGTACAAGAGAGGTGATGCAGATGTAAGGCTTGAGCATCAGGGTTCAGGAGTGAGGTAAAAGCACAAGACAGGGGATGGTGCCTTTTTTCTTTCCTAGCACCAGGGATCACACCTAGGGTTTCATGCATAAGATACAAGTCTGCAACCACTGATCTATATCTCCAGCCCTAAGATGGCTATTCTCAGCATTAGCTTGCTAGCTTTAACTCTTAGAGATGTACTGTGCTTATAACTTTAGAGGGCTTGACTCTTACAGGCTATCAATGGTGCAGTGTTATCTCACACTTGCAGATTCAATGTTAGGGCAAACTGCAGCTCATAGATCCACAGTGCATGTTGGAGGTATAGAAGCAGGTTGCAGAGTCTCAAGAATACATGTAAAGGTCATGCGACCTTGTAACCTCTTGATCTGGTTACCTCATTGTTTAACAGAATTATCAGGCAAGGCATCACATAGGTCTCCTGGAGGAAATGGATCTAGGATTAATTTTTAAAGTGTCTCATGGTTATTTTAAGCATTATCTGCTGTCTGTCATCTTTAAGTATACTTGGAAGCCTTGATTTTTATTTTTGAAGTCTTGGTCATTTATGGAAGTAGCTGTAAATTTAAATACTTTGTCGGAGAGTAAGAGGATAAACCATTAAATCATGTCTGAATTTGCTGTCTTGACAACTAGAAGATGAAATCTAGAAGGACACAGTCTGTGAATGACTGCTCTTCTCATTCTTCTCACACACACAATGCAGGATTGACTCAATCTAGCTTGGTTGGGGTGATGCTTTCATGGCTTCAAAAGAGAATTTCTGTTGTAGGGCCTTCATACAGGTTCTTTCATATCCACGGATATAGACATGCACAAAGGCAGTGCCTTCTCTCCTCTGTGGGTCTGCTGAATATGCACGGCCCATCTTCACTCTGTGGAGGAAGTTGCAGTGAAGTCTTTCTGAGGTTATAATCTTGTCTTTCGGATGTTCTCAGGGACCTTTGGGACACTGCTGTGTCAGGAGAGCTTCAGACAGAATTACATCTGTGAAAACTGGAGAACAAAGACATGTTGTCAGTCCTTAGATGACCACAGTCACAGCAGGTTTGGTAGCAGCCACAGCTTCCCCATGGCCCTGTGGCCACAGCTTTCCTTCAGCTGTGTTGTTTGTTATTTTTTTCAAAATTTCAATGCATTTTGGTTAAAATAGGAGATTGTACCACTTTCTCCCTTCTCTTTCCTCCATCCAGCCCCTGCCAGGACCCACCCCTGTAGTTGGAAGTTTTCCTGTGTCCCGGCCAGCCAGTGGTCTGGACAAATCTCTCCCACTCACGTCCCCCAAGTAAAAACACAGAGGCTTCTATTAATTATAACTGCTTGGCCATTAGCTCAGGCTTATTACTGACTAGCTCTTACAATTACTTTAATCCATAATTCTTATTTATGTTTAGCCACACGGCTTGGTACCTTTTCTCAGTTCTGCCTTGTCATCTTGCTTCCTCTGTGTTGGGTTGGCGATTCCTGACTCCCCTTCCTCTTCCCAGAATTCTCCTCGTCTGCTTATCCCACCTATACTTCCTGCCTGGCTACTGGCCAGTCAGCATTTTATTTATCAACCAATCAGAGCAACACATATTCACAGAATACAGAATGTTATCCCACAGTACACTCTCAACTCTCAAATTGATAGCCTCTTTTTCTTTGACTACTATGGTTGCATGCATGCATGCATGTTCTCATGCATATGTGCACCTCCTCCAAGTTATCAAAATACAATCTGTTGAGTCCATTTTTATTGTTTATATATAAATATATATATATAATATATATATATTTATATATATAATATGGTTTCAGGGCTGACCACTTTGTATTGCATAACCAATAAGGGGCTCATCTCTGGGAGAGGGTAATTCTCCCTCTCTCGGGCTTCATTGAATACCTGTTGTTCTTTTTTTTTTTGGTTTTTCGAGACAGGGTTTCTCTGTGTAGCTTTGCGCCTTTCCTGGTACTCG